TATTGCATTGTGTCTTTGAAGATACGGGCTGGGGATGCAAGATCCCGCTTGAATTTTGTTGCGAAACGTTGCAGATAAGTAGTCTAGAAACCAAAGAATGCGCCTGGAGGTGAGTCTGGGTTGCCTGGGGGGTTACTGACTATTTTTGGGAGGGGTAAACCTTACCTTTAGTTTGTAACAAACAGAACTTTGTGAAAACACCACGGAAATTGATCGGATAAAAATGGTTCGAAATTGAGGCTCTCCTGTCCAAGATGGCGCTCATCTAACATAATTTCGTGCAGTGCTAGCCCCAAAAAGAGGAAAATTTTTAATCCTACCGATACGCTCTTTGAAAAATGATGACGTCATCAGGGGCGACGCGATCGGCGATCGGCTCGAGCGAGTGTTTTAAGTGCCTATCCAGTGTGTCCTAGTCCACAACCACTGCAGTGGGGTTAGGTTGGGCCAGGGGGAGATACGGTGCCAGGCGATCCCTGTGCAGGACCACAGCCTTCTGTTACTTGAGCAGCTGCAGGCTATAAACGACATCAGCGAGATGCCTGAGGACTTCCCCAGGTCCCCTCCAATAACTGTCCAGCTTGGATCACTGTTCCTTCGTGCAGATGAGGTGCTACATCTAAACTGAGTCTCTGGTGCCAAAGTCCATCCTGTGGCTGCATGCATCATAGGTGCACTTCTGTCTGGCTGTCTCTGTGCCTTGATGCTGATGGGCCAGATCATGCACTCCCCCCCCCCCAGATCCCACCAAACACCTGTACCATGAAGTTCTCCCCCTGGTCACTGCATAGCTCCTCTGACACACCTGAGCAGCAGAACAAATCCTCAACAAGCTTCTGGGCAGCATTAGCTGCACTTGGGTCATGGTGAAGTAGTCCATGGTCATGAGGATGTAGCAATTCCTGGTATCAATACAGAGAAAAGGGCCCATGATATCCACCCTGACCCTCTCCATGGGTGCCCTCACATGGTGTGGCTTCATCGAGGCTTGGGACTGGTGACTCGGGTCCTGCTGGCTGATGCATGTGTCACAGCAGTCCACAAACAGGTCCTGGTTGCACCCAGGCTAACAGATGCCGCAGCAGAGGTTCCCCAGTATCTTTGCTGCTCCAAAGCGGCCGGCTCCAGTTACGCCATGCACTGCCCTCAGGACTGCCGTGTACCAGAAACTGCTAGCGCTGATAAAGCATCCTGGCTTGCTCCACGACTACCTGCCACTGTTAGTTAGGCCTTGGTGTCTGGGACTGGTGCAGAGACCACCATCCACTCCGGTTACCACGCCAACTGCAGCTAACCCCAGACTTGGGCTGTTGGTGGTCAGTAGCCTGATCAGGGTATGCAAGCACTGGAGCCTTAACGAGTCCTCGGGCGGTTGGTGGTGGTGGAGTCTTTGGATGATTTAAAGGGCTGCCCCTTTTCAATGAGCCAGTGGGGGGGTTTGCAGGTAATACGAAACAAGAGCCTGGAAACTGCACAGCTGGGCAGCACTTCATAGGGTTGGCTGGACCCTCATTGCAGTGACCTCTCCTAAGCCAACTACCATACCAACAGCATTAGGCAACTGCGGATGGTCTGCACTCATCAGCTCAGGCCGTGAAGATTTAGAAATGTTTGTCTTAAGTCAGATGCAACTGCTCCAGTATCAAACCCGTGTTGCTCTGCTGCCACAGCTCACAAACTGCCTGAACCGTCTCCGGGGAGGGTCCGGCCGTCACGGCATCACCCTTACACTGCGCTGAGAGGGTTAGCAGCACATTGGAGAGTGCAGGAACAGTTAGAAGCTTTTCCACTGTCTGCTTGTCAAGGTGTCTGTCCCGAGGTAGAGTATGACTTGGGGCATCTCAATATGAGGCCCCAGATGGAACAGCAAGGGATGCCAGGATCATGCATATTGGCCAGACCCACCTCCTGCTCTGTGGTCCACCCTGCAAGCGTGATGCTGAGCCGTCTCTTCTCCTTCATTGGTGCGCATATGCTGGTGATGGACAAGGGCCAGACCTCACGGAGCCGGCTAGTCACTGCTTGAGAGGATGCACACCTGCATGAGGGGTTCACCATCACCCTCTAAGGCTTAGTGCTGGGTGTCCTTCACTTATTGGTCTACTTATGGCTCTTTTCCATACCATGAAGGGATGGTTTTCCATTGTAAATTCTCCAAGCCGTACCCAAGCTGACATGGCCTTGCTTACTAGCAGGACCAAAAGCACGACTAAACTGAGGTGGTGCGTCGCCACCATCTGATTGGTCGAAATGCTCTGAGGTACCGATGAGCTGCATCGATATGCATGGATCCACTGAAGGAAAGAAGGGCATATTCTCTATCATCAGCTAACTAAGGAACCTCATTGGTGTATAATGGACTACATTGCCCCTTAGTTTATTCCCAGACCAAAAGAGAACTGCGTCTTCAGAAAATCCACAAACACAGGCTTAGAAGAACACAAGGTACAAGCTTTATTAAATACATTTGAAGTCAGATTACCCAGTTTGATTGTTCCATAGAAAAAAGAAAAGAAACTATTTTAAAACTAAAAGGGAAAAAAAACTGCCGTCTGGTCATGGTGAAGTAATCCATGGCCACGAGGACACAGCAAGTACTTTAGATCAATTGAGCTGCGGGAGACGTAACTGACAGGAGGTACCATCCCATTGCCACATGAAGAAATTCCAAAGCCCCTCAAATGATACATGCTGATCAGTCAAAACGTGCTGCTCTGCAAACTTCTGCCACTCCAGTGAACCCAGCACAAGCACATCCCAATTGCCAGCTGGTTCCCCAAACCCTCTGGCCATGGCCACACAAAGGCTGAAGTTAAAGAAAACAAGGTAACACTTTGACAGGGCACAAATAATACAGTATTATACTATTTCTTATGTATTAATGAGCCACAGATCAAGTCTTAGTTACATACTGATCTCATGCTTGTTCTTCATTAATGAATCATAATGCATCTTATATACCAAGCAGTTACTATATCTGTTAATCCTGTAAACTTCTGTGAACTAATGAAGGTACAAGTAATGAATAACAGATGTGAAATACTGATGATCTGTTTGTTTATGAATCGTGACGCACCTTTTATCTCAAGTAGCAACTACATTTGTTCATAATTTGTACTTCAGTAGTAACTCAGTATTTGTGCCCCATCAAGTAAAGTGTTACTGAAAAAAGTAGCAAAAAAGAATTAAAAAAAAAAAAACCGAGTACTAGTGAAGCCAGTAGCTTCCAATTTACACAACACTCACTTGTACTAGTGAAGCATGTGGCCAATGGGCTAGAGGGAAACTAAACACTAAAATACTGTTAAAATCTGGAGCAGCAGCCCAGGGAGCACATGCACAAACATTAATAACTTTTGCGATAGAGAAACAGCAGCTAGCAGCAAACCTTAAGAATAACAAGGTTAGTCGGCATGGCAGCTACGCTCAAAAATAATGACACCCTCCCTTGAGCAACCAGGTTACGTTAGCGTCTCAGTCTGTGCTGGTCCATTTACCCCCCAGCACTTTGCGTGACCAGTGCTCAATACAAAACCCCACACCAGAAACACCACTACACACATGCACAACTAGCTTGACCTGAAAGTAAATGAAACAAAGACTCCCTGAGGACCCTGGGTGTCCGCACATATGCCTGTTCTCAGGACCCTGGGTGTCCGCACATATGCCTGTTCTCAGGACCCCAGCTGTCCTCACATATGCCTAATCTCATGACCCAAGGTAGCCCAACAGGTGTCAGCTACTGATTAGCAACACACCAAAAATAAATGAATAAAACATTATACTGCCTAGTGCCACAGGCTGCCTAATAAAACCTCATATCTGCAAAATCATTGTTGTTCAGGAGATAAAAAAAATAGGGTGACCAGATAATCCATGTCAGGGAGGAGACTCTGAGCTAGGACAGGAATTGTAAATTACCATTTCAGTTAGAAGGACCTGGATTTCATTTCTCACTGTGTGCTGATTGGTCAAGCTCCTATAATCGTGCATGTGTCACTAATGCTAATGTGAAACAGCTGGATGAGTCTTTCAGTCAAGGAAACTAACCAGTCAAAGCACAAGAAGAGCTGAACTATTTAGCCGAGTACAGGAGCCTTTGAGTTTGGATGGACAAACTAAACAAACCAACTAAACAATGTGAAGTGATGGTTAGTTTATGAAATGTTTAAATCCTGTACTAAACAATTAAATGAAGATGCTGGTTTTGTAGTATCTTTTCTGGAGTCACATGTTGTTTATGCACCCCGGTCTGTTCAACGGTATAGAAGGAGCTGATAGAGGGCTGCTGCATTCGATGTGTGAAGCTATGAGTTAGGATCTCCAGAACAATTCACTGTCAGCATTGTGACTATGGGTCTGACTTCACTCTGACCATCAGAGGAGTCCAGGCTGAAGATGCAGGAGATTATTACTGTCAGAGTCTCCACTACATCAGTTAGACAGCTAGAAACTGTCTTATATCATGCAGGAATATTTATACAGTCATAAATTCACTTCACTATGTCATACTGCACTTAGCATGTATTATTATACAGAACTTAAAGTTTGCCCTGGACTGTGATCTAAAGTCTCTTTGATGCCCTCTAGCTAACAAAGCCCCCAGTCTGACGGTCCTGCCTGAGAGTCACTCTTATAACACACATGCACTATGCCCATCTAGATAACTCATACCTCATAGACAATATTTACAACAATTAAGGTTAGGGTTACGCATGACAATGTACGGCACAACAATAGCACAATTCATGATAAATACACAGAGCTTTTTACATTTTTTACACTATTTACATGCCTGGCACTGGTCCAGTATGTCAGCCCACTGCCCGATGCACACTCCCAGTGCTACAAAATTATTTCTCTGACTTCTGAGTTAGCTTTGATCCATAGGTCAGTGTTTCTCAATTCCCTGAGGGTTGAGAGGGAGCAAAAACGTGGGCTGTTGGGGATCCTCAAGGACCGGTTTGAGAAACACTGGCCTAGGAAACAGAACACCCACCCTGAAAGTCCTGCCCCCCTCCAGTGTGGAGGTGTCCAGCAAGAACACGGCCACCCTGATGTGCCTGGCCAACAAGGGCTTCCCCTTAATATTGATGATACCGTGACACCGAACCTTCCAATACCTATGAAGAATTAAAAATTCTGAATATAAGCACGTTCCAGTTCTTTTGTGAAAAGTACAAAATCTTTCCTGTCCATTACATGGAAAGAGGAGTCTGTACATTGAGGGACTTCTAATTTAGATCTAAATAGGTTAATACTGAGTAGCTGTTTCATACTATGAGTTTGTAACCCCCCCCCACAAAATAATGCTCCAGGCACACTGGATAAATTGCTGACCCTGCACTCGAACCCCAGCTTCACCTTCACGTCTATGTGAGTTTGTGTTAATGCAGAGCATGATGGGATATGCAAAAACCAAAGCATTCCAATGCTGATGTAATGCTGCAAATGGCAAGTAAATAACAGTTTTATTTTATTTTTCATTTAACTCCTAATAAAACTGGTGACACCACCTACAACCACTAGAGGGAAGCAGAAGAACATTTACAAAGAAATTCCAGACGTCTGTAATACAACGTAAGCCTTGTAAAATGACTGATGGTAGAAACAAGGCTATTAACTTTGTAATACCTAACGCTTTAAATGCCTATATTACCAATGAAGTTTTGTCTCAGCCTAGATAATGTCTCCAATTATGCCAAAAAACATTAAATCATAGATAAGACAAACCAAAACACGACACCTAAGTGTGTAATTTATGATGCAATTTCATTCATTCCCTAGGAGAGAAATGCATGGGAGAAAGACAGGAAGGACAGGGACCACAAAGGACAGACGTCAGGGCTACAGGACTGAAGCTGTACTGGGTTTGAGACTGACAGTCTCTGTAGGGGCAGCTGGTAACAGATTTATATCAGATTTATATCAGTCATCTTTGTGATAGTATCCCTTATGGAATCCACTACATTTACAATTAAGTATATACAGAACCAGTCAAAAATGTGGACACGCCAAGCCGCCTACAAAACAGAGTGATAGTGTTGCATCACATAACCTTAACTCAGTAGAAATGATTTTGGAGGAGTTTGACTAGAGAGTGAAGGAAAAGGACAGCTGGAAAAGCATCCCAGGAGGCCACCTCATGAAAATGGCGTAGAGGAGACAGTAGGGTCAGTCAGTGCCTGGAGCTTTTACAGTTAAGGGCCTTGATCAAGTGCCCAATGGTGGGATCACTCTGCAGATCCAGGGATCTGAACTAGCAACCTTCTGAGTCCCAACCGACGGAGCTGCCTACCCTCCACAACAAATTATTATTATTATTATTATTATTATTATTATTATTATTATTATTATTTTTATACTTTTTTGTCAGTACATAATTCCATATACATAATTTTATAGCTTTGATGTCTTTATAATCATTCTAAAATGTAAAAAAAGAGTTCAAATAAACTTTCTGTGGGCAGGTGTGTTGAAACATTGATTGGTACTGTACATATAAGTGTATATAATCTTAAAATATCATCAGACAAACTGATTGGCTGTATCTTTATGACATAATAAGCCAGTGTGTATGCATTGATTTTTACCATCTCCACTCTAAGAACCATCATCATCAGATAAGATTATTAAGAACTGATACAGATCATGTGGTAACTCCTGTTGGATGGGCAGATTCAGACCCAGAAAACTGCAGATACTGTGACTCTCCAGAGTCTCAGCCCTGCTTTAGAAAACCCAGCCAACTGAGTAAATAGAGTAATATTTTCTATTCTGTTTCACATTTACAACAGACATCAGTTTCTTAAGGGTAATATGTGGAATATCAATGTCTCAATCAACAGATAAGAACTGATGGTAACTGGTCAACTTGCGTCATCCTTGCCAAAGCAGCTCTATTAATGTGCATTTAATAAAATTAAAACAACTATTTTGGAGAACAATCTGCAACAACTTGGTATAAATGCTCATGATCAAGAGTCTTCAATCTGAAAAA